GCTCTTCTTCCAGCACCTCCACGGTCTTAAAGGACTGTATGTTCTTGGGTCTAGTATCTCATTGTCATTGTGCTTACATTATTTTTGAAACAAGTTCACTGACAGCATAATCATCATCATCATAAAAACAGAAGCATCATAACTACTACATACAAAGGACATGATATGAGTTTCCAACAAAGACTGTAACTGCTTCAGCTGCCTTTTTTTTATGTTCTGGGGAAAAACTATAGAGAGAATTTGTTATCCTGTTGTATTCTTTGTCTGCCAAGCTTAGAAAAGGTAGTCCCAATTCCTTGTGCTGTGCATCTAAAAGCTCAATGGCATCCTGGCTGACTTCTCTCATCAGCTATGGAAGACAACAACAAAAGGAAAAAGGGAGCGAATTTTGCCAGAAATAAATAACTTGTTTATTCTAATATATGGCTAACTAGTCCGGTAGAGTCTGGTACCTGGATAATTATATTCCTAGTGGCACCATGGACCTTTGAACAAATAATAATATTCCAGGCTATTTTGCATCCAGTGTTGCTGAGTATTATAGCACAGTCATTCTAGCAGAATAAAAATTTCAAAAGCTAATATATTAACTGAGTAATCTTTGGGAAATCATGTGGACATTGTTTGCTCTACAGGGAAATAATAACAGCAACTATAATATCTACTAGCAAAATACTAAATTTTAATAATCAATAAAGTACACAAAATAATTTATACACGTGTATATATTCATATGTAATTATTTCATACAGGATTCAGGGAAATTCCTGAAGCAGACAGAATATACTCTTGACTGATAGATTTCATCCCTCCCTCTCCCTCTCTCTCCCTCTGTTCCCGCTCTCTCCAAAACACACAGCCCTAGTTATTAGTAATAATAAAAAACAAAAGTTTACTCTAAAAGCGCACTGTGAAATATTAATCTATTTCTCAGACAAGTCTGACAAATTACTGAAAAGGTATGTGTGTTCACACCAATTTTACCAAAGGTCATTTTAATGAATGTTTCACATGTTTTGAATTTTAATACAATATGAAAATGCTATGCTATGAAGCAAGAGGACCTTCCTATTTTTTATTGGTACCACAGCAAATGGAGAGCAGATCTTTATCCCACCCCTCCCTGGTCATAATCCCAATTAAAACTTTCACTTGCTGTCCCACTGGTACCAATAGTTGGAATAAATTTAATAGTGAATTTGGCTAGATATATTTCTACTCAAATCTATCAAATCAAATTGGTCAAATTTGAAAAAGGATGAAAAATACGTACTGTCTGGTCATATACTACAGCAAAGACAAATTTGTCCAAATTCAAGCACTGTTAGTTTTTTGATGAAATACTGTAATATTGGATTTTTAATGCAACTGTATTATGTTAAAGTTTGAAAAGTTCTGGTACATCAAGTGGCTGATGGCATGCTGCTTGGCAGTGCTAGTAATATGAAAAGATTAATTGCTTTCTTCTGAGTGTCTAAACTGCATATCTAAACTGCAGTTCCACTTGCCTCAGGTTGAAAAATGCTTCTTAAGCCAATAATAACTACCCACCGCAAAATTACTATCTCTCATAATGAATGCCTGGTCCATATACAAAGCTTAAAACATCTGACAAAACACATTTCGAATTAGGGTGGTCATTCAGAAGCTTCTTGGATTTCCACCTTCCATCTCAGCTTCCACACAAGAGGGTAAAGTGAGTTTCTTGTAAAGAAATTTTGGCATGATCTTGAATGACAAATGACATACTACCAGGTGCCAAGAAAGACGGGGAGATATAGTCACCCCCAACTCGAGCGTCAACTGGAGCGGCTTTGTTCTCGGTGCCCTGAATAATTAATAACTCCTTTGGCAATCAGTCATGCATTCCTTAATGGCACCTCAGGCATCAAGTGTCCCATTCACCCACTCCCCCCAAGTAACAATAGACTTTACTACGCTGGGTGTTCTATGCCAAGCTTGTAACTGACATAATTTAAACTAAACAAGTCACTAGAAGGAATATTACCCAGACCCAAATTGGAATCTTTTATCAGGTTTGTTTACATAGCATACGGTTGCTATGTAAATCATATCAGTATCGAGGAGATTTGGGGTAGACTTTCTTAACATAATTTTTTGGCAAGTCACTTCCCTTCTTGCATGCCCAAAAGAACTTAAGTACAAAAATACTATTATATATCCCAGACCTAGAATGATTAAATGGATGCAATAGATAGAATGTCAATATGCTGTACAGAATTCAAAACAATGTTTTCTACAATCTTTATTTAAAACGTGTTATTTACAGGATTAGCCAACTGATGAAAGGCTAAGAACGTCAGGTCTATATAAATAGAAAATCAAGGATTTCAATGTTTTATTTCTTCACAGTATTATTCTATGTAAATGTATTAGATATGTTTAGCATCTGCAGTACTTTCTTCCATTATTTTCTCCTATACTCAGTGACTTCAGTTTTGCTCATTTTCCTTTTGCCTTGACTAAGACTAGGTTAGTTTACCAATATCCTTCAGATGCTTAATCAACATAAAAGTTGTTTCTTTAAAAGGTTTACTAAAATTAAATAAATTGCAGCAGAAATAAACAAGAGTACATATGAAAAAAGTCGAAGCTGTTCTTTTCACTGTGTGTGGCCTCCAATAACAAACACAAACTTGCCCTGTTTTATTTCATTTTTACTTCATTTCTCTTCAAACAAACTCTCTTTGGTAATCCACCCAGTCCTTTCATCTAGCAGAATGCAAGAGCAGAAAGGGATGTATCTCTGTTTACGACCAATTCATAAAAATATGAATCTATTAAAATAAATGGCCACTGTAACAATGATTTTTAAACACTTTTAACCACAGCTCTTACTTTTAAACTTAGGGTATAATCCTATATGTTGCAAGCTCATAGCAGGGAAGCCTCTGAATCTGGAGGTTTCCATGTATGCAGGACACTGCTGGGCTTAGACTGGCAGCTAGAGAGGAAAGGTGGAAACAAGTTCATCATCCTCCCTCCTGTCTTTGCATTTATGTTAGATAGGCACTTTGATCATCCAATGATACCACACTTTGGATTGGCAGAGAGAAGGAATCTGGAAAAAGCTCTGGATGGCTCTTATCCAGGCTGTTCTAAGCACTCCCTGCTCCAACAGAAATGTCCCTTTCCTCTCTCTCCCAAGTAGGTTTTCCAGCTGTGGAAGCCAACCAGTGTGGTTTTCCCCATGCCAGGAGTGGGAGGAAAAGTGCTGTCTTGGACCTTGGAGGGGAATCTCCACTTTTCTACAGACCCTCAGGCAATATCTAGAGATCACAGGATTTCTCCCATAGGATATTCCCACTTGTAATATCTGCTCCACTTTCCATGACTATGGAAAATTTAAGAATTCCAAGTTATTGCAAACTAATTTTTAAACATTTTAAAATTTCAGTGATGCAGCAATCATAAATCTATCCCTGGCATATATGGTATGCCTCACTACTAAGTAACTGGCCACAAATTTGTCTTCTGTGCCTAAGTAAATTTACATAAGTGGTGACGTAGGAAGACAGGAAAGATTCAAGAGTAGAAGGTTCAGCTTCTCTGACAAAGCCTTCCTTGAGTGGCTTTTTCTGCACAACTCATCATTTCTGCCAATTCTAAACACATTCCAACCATCAAAATTACACCAGGACACCTCGTTTTTGAAACCCTCACCCTGCCCTGCTGCACACCCCCAACCCTAATATAGGGCAAAAGTTCCATGGAAAAGAGGGCAATTTTGAAAAAGCCTTCCTTGAGTAGCTTTTTCTGCACTGCTCATCATCTCTGTCCATTCTAAACACATTCCAACCATCAAAATCATGCCAGGGCACCTCGTTTTTCTAACCCTAACCCAGTGATGGTGAACCTTTTAGAGACCAAGTGCCCACACAGCAACCCAATTATTTATCACAAAGTGCCAAGACTACATTAAAACCTGAAAACTGAGGTTTTAGTTTTGAAAAAACAACTCACCGCCAGTCCAAGCAAACATATATATCTCCTTATCAGCTCACTGCCCGGCCCCATGAAAACTCGGACGAGTCGCTGTTAATGAGTCATGGTTTGTGACATCATCGCCCAGTGCTGCTACTCCTTTCAAGCATGTGCATGGCCCTTATGTGCACTGTTATCCAATGCTCGGCTGCTGGGGTGATGCTGGGGCGACTTGGCTTGTGTGCCGACAGAGAGGGCTCTGTGTGCCCGCTGTGGCATGCGTGCCATAGGTTCACCACCACTGGTCTGGACTCATTCAAACCTACTGAGTCCTTTAGTGAACTAGTCATTACTTTCCAGAATTCTAAATTGGATAATTGTTCAAAGTACTTTTCTCTCTCTGCTTTCAGATATACTAGAAACCCACCCACCTGCAGTGACAGAGATATCCATGATCTCCAGTATATAGGCAGCTTCATTTTAAAGAGTACTGCAAACAAAACGTGAAAATCCCTATCTTCACACTCATACTGTGGAAGTACACCATGACATCAGTGAACCACAAAGATGCCTGAACCATAACTCCTCACAAAATAATCTGTTGCCCAGGAAGACATTTGGCAATTTTGGTTAATTATGATGCATGTGCAACAATGATTTTCGAATGCCAAATGACACATACATTTTTCTTTCCCCGAAACAGAAAATAATCAGAATTCTGGTTACACTCAGAAGTAGAACAAACAGAAATGGGGTATCTCATTCTGTCCAAAGATGTTTTCCTTTTCACAAGGAGGAAACAGAAAGCTAAAACAGGTTGTGTGAGAGAATTCTGCAGATGGGAAGGTCTTCCTCAAATGCACAATAGGCACATATGTTTCAGTGGTGTGGATGTAAAGAGGGCTTGCTGGCTAAGGTTTTCACTCTGAACAAATTAGGTAGCAAAGGAGCACTTATTACATTTATTTTTATTGCTGAATATTTATTACATTTATCTTTATTCCTTCATCAACACATCTTGAAAAGTCAGGAGTCAGAGTTATGTTGTTACTTACTGGTGTGAAAATAGTATAATGGATACAAAATCCAGGTTCAGAAGGAAGATATTCATCAGAAACAAATCTTATCCTGATCTGGTTTCCTTTGGAAATCTGTTTGCCTGGGATAGAAGTTGAACCACACCATCGCCCCAAAATAGTGCCATCAGTGGGCTCTTCTATTTCTACAAAGTCATACCTACAATTAAAAAAAAAACAGCATTTACTCATGGCTAGACTTTGTACAGAACATCTATACAGTAGAAAAAGTCATATAAGCAAACATCAAGAATAATTTGATTTCAAACTGAAGATCTGAGTACAAATTTAGCTCTAGTCAGAGGCCCTGGATGGGAATATCTACATTCACTATATCTGCATTTCCATTAAATCTATTTCTACTTTGAAATAAAATTTTAAAAATGAAGGACAATCAAATGTACATTATAATATTACAGTATCACTAAAGAAACAAAGATATTAACCAATTATAATTCTTAGTCTATCACTAACAGGCTGGTGAAACATTTGTAATGGGATCCTAATATCTGATTAAAGATATTATTCAGAAAACCAGAATGGTAATAAGTGTGCTGCTTTAATACCAGACTAGACAGCTCTGAAATGGGCAGGTGCATGTGAGCTGTGAGCAACCGGATGCATGAGATCAAAACTTAATCTAGTCAAAATGCAAGTATTGCTGGTCCCTATGACTCATCTCAAAGAATTATTTTCATAGCTAAAGGGCACTACTTAACCTGTCCCTTCTTTCAGAGATTGTCAGGACAAGGAGAAGCTTTTTCCAATTTCACATCAGCTACTTCTTTTGTTGGAACAGTTGGATCTTGCCACAGCCATTCATGGTGCAGTTATTTCCGGGCTTGGTTTCTGCAATACTATGTGAGTCTAAAAGCATTGGGAAAATTCAACCACATCCAGTTGTTGGTTGACGCAGAACACCCTTGCCAAATTTGGTGGCTCGAGTTAGTCAGCACCCTGGGTGGCTTATTTGACTGTTTATCTGTTAACCTAAAAGATTGCCCCTAGCCCATTATGGATGGATAAATCTGTCAATTTTGTTTTTTCTTGCTTTCTCCATTTTCAGTCTTAAGTGATTCTTTTCCATTTCTACATAAGTTTGCTACTTTTAAGAATGAAAACATGTATACATTCTTTTAATAATTTTGCTACATTAATTTCACTGATTTATAAGAATTTTTCTATGCATTTTAAATTGGAAATGCAAATTAGGAAGCGTCACATTAAAATGTGGATTTTTATATGGTCTGTATCCAGTACTACAAGCTTGGCTCCAGGTGCTTCTTCCAAACGTGGTTCAGTGGATACCTGTAAAAAACTATTTTCAGTTGAGGTGCCAACAATGTGGAATGACCACAACAAAATGGCTTGCCGGGCTCAGACTCTACACAATCTCAGATGCAAGGGGGATTTTTGGTAGTTTCTTGTGTAAGGCTGGCTCCTTTGGATGCTTATGTTTTATTACTGTTTATGTTGGTTACTGTTATCTGTGTTTCTGGTGATTTTTTTCTTCAGAACTTAACTCCTTTTCTTTAGACTGCTTTGTTGCTGGTTGCTTTAATGTTTGTATTTTGTAAACTGACTTGACGTTTCCAGATCTTTAAAGCAAGATAAAGAAAGCTGTACTTGCAATCTAATTGGAATAGTTTCAGAATGTGAGTGGGACTGAACTCAGAACCTTTGTCCATTCCCCTTTATCTTCAAGCAAAAGTGATGCACAGAATTGACCAGTTCAATTTATAGTGTTGCTAGAGTCAGGTTAAGGATTTGGAATGTACAGTGAGAATTGAATCCCTTGTAGCAAACCATGCTGCCCCAAGACCTTAGGAAATGGAGCTATTCGGATTCAGATGCACCATGTATGCTGCTTTTATGCGTGAATCTGTCCTCAGATCAAACAAACTGTTTGCAAGTGTTTCCCTCCACATGTAATTACGGGCAGGGAGAAATCAAAACTATGTTGGCTGGTGTTGAAAGCCTGTTGGCCTCAACCCCTCTGTCCACATGTTAGGGACAGATCTGTAAAAAGAAAGCTCCCTATATTTGTAAAGCCTCTCCCTATAACATGGCTCCCTGGTGTGGAGAGCTTGCAAAAGGCTAGAAATAGCGTGAAACTGAGTATACATTTTCTGTTGCTTTTGTTCCTGGAAGGTTGGATAGCACTCTAGGCAAGCAGAAAATACTACACTTATTTGCTGAACTGTTCCTGAAATGTAGCTAGTTGGATACATTCCCTAGTATTGGAGCAGACATATTTCTGTACAAGGCCACAGGCTTTGTATGCGGCAAGTTCCACGTCCCACTTCCCGTCTTCACTTCAAAATGGTATCGGGGCTAGAAGGAACTCCACTTGAATCAGAGAAGGCGGTACTGAGCTAGAAGTGTGAGTGAGCTGACTCAATATAAGGTAGCTTCATTTGTTAATCAATGCAATTATCTCATTGCAATTAACATGGCATGAAGAACAGCAGCAGACACAATTTACCCTACAATTTAGACAGAATTTCCCTTCCCTTTCACCACATTTTGCAAAGGATGTAAGGTAAATACAGTACAAGAACAGTTTCCAATAGTTCTAGGAAGTAGCATTAGTCAGTTAAAAGGTAAGGGTACAATCCTATTATGGTTCCCAGAAATCTCTAAACTCAGAGGATTCCAGAAATCCAAGGCAGAACAGGAGATAAAGCAGATGAAAACTTTGCCTCCCTGCTCCTCCCAATTAATATTCTTGCTAGGTGGCCATATAGTAATAGTGTTTTAGAGCAGGAGGAAAGGAGATGGAAGTGGCTCCAGAATATCCTGCATGCTAGCTACTCTAGACTTTTCCGCTCCTTGTTCCCCAGTATGTCCCCTTTGTCCCTACTCTGAGGTTGTTTTCTCAACCTCGTGCAGAGGCAGCTGACATCATTTTTCCATGCCAGCAGCCAGGGGCAGTGGCGGCGATGGGAAAGATGTTGGAACTCAGAGGTCAGAATGCTGCCTTCATCCTCAGATCTGTTCTATGACCACCCAGACAATATCTAAGAGTCATTTTGCCCCATCCATTTTATTTACTATTACCTTGAATGTAACATATCATTTCCAAATATATAAGTAGCCACCTCCCTGGAACTATAAGTGGCAGTGGATAATTGCAAGGTGCATTTCCATACATTTTAAAATAAATCATTTTTACCTGTGTCTGCAAACACAGTCATATAAAATCAAACTTGTTCTCTTTACAGATTGAACTCACAGAGGCTTGGATCCTAATTTTCTTATGTGGATGATCATGAAATAGAATTTTCCTTCCTCTTCCTTCTGCATTACCTTGCATCCCTGCAAAACTTGCCCTTGGTAATGGGGGGCGGGGGAGGGGTTGCAGGGTCTTATCCTTCTTTAGATAAGCCAATACAGAAAAGCACATTCTCAAGCAAAGCAAATATTAAGTATTACACGTGAAAAATGGTGTGGTTATCACTTGACTTTCTTGCATCCAATTTTTATTGACAATGTTTTACAACTTGTCATTTGCAAATAAAACACTATTAGCATGAATAGGTTTTCACTGTACACATTTAGTTTTTTAAAATATAGTTCTGCTTCTTAAAGTAGAATGTAGAGATCAAAACACACACCATCTATAAAAATTCAGGGAAGTGGAAAAGTGATATGACATAACACCTGACACATGAAACAAAATGAACTATCACTGACAGCCAGAACCACACTTGTCCCCAGGTGATCATTTTAGAGACTTTATAATCCTTGTAATATACCCACTGGTATTGTATTGCACTGTCCAAATCAGTGTTAAAGGATTTACTAAACCTGTTTTATTGGCCAATCAAATGTAGGTTTCTCACAGCAACATGATACTGAACACACATAACTAAGTGGCTTATAATGACTACTTCCCAGACATCCTTTGGGATCTACAGAAGATTTATTTTCTTTCATGCTTTAGAAACAAGTATGTGTTTGTAGACACAATGCCTTATTCTGGTTTTGACTTCAGAATGCTCTAAACTGGAGATGTAGATGTTCCTACCTTGGGCCGGCAGTAAATGTATGTACAACCTGCTCAATCATTGTACTTTGTTTCTGAAATATCTGCGCAGATCTTTTCACCAGAGACATCCTTGTTTGCCTTTAGAGTCCACATTAAGACTCCTGCTTGTTCAAGCCCTGATGAAAAATCCTGCTAACAGTTTGTGTTGTTTTTTTTTTAAATCTTTGACCTAGTTTGGGTCAAAGCTTATCATAGCCAAAAGAGCCTGATCCTGCCTAATACTGGAAGCTAAGCAGGATCAGGCCTGGTTGAAATCAGGATGGATGACTTAAATGATGTGAACCACTCAGAGAGCTTCAGCTATAGACAGTATAGAAACATTGTGATGTGATGATGATGATGATGATGATGATGATGATAAAACAAGCTTGTTCCCAACTGCATGTATTACTCTAACACCGACACAAGGATGAAATCAAAAGCATCAATTTCCATTTTCATTAAACTTTAATTGCCATTTCATTTTAGCTATAGTCAGACATGGCTTGAACTTGGCTTGTATGGACAAACTAAGCACAATTTATTACAAGCCTGGTTTTGATAACACTAAAGTTAGCTAACAAGAGAAGTTAATGCTTCCATTCTTGTTATGACTACACCAGAAATGAAGAGGGAATGTATCCAAATACAGTTCAATGTAGCATTTTGCTATCCCTGTAGCATGAAACTATGGTCCATGACATTTCTTTTATACCTGCTTTACTTTGCTGTTCTACTGTTACTTTATTATTGCTCTTTAAATGACCTTATCCCAGTTAATAAGCATTACCTAAAAATTTTGCCTTGGCTATTTAAGGTTTTTTAAAATGTTAAATAATCATTTAAAATGACAGAAATCAATTTTGTTGCCTTTGTTTAAGCATCTACTAAATCAACATTTTTGAAACTTCTAAACTCCACCATTACAATTTCTTAAGAGTGCAATCCTGAGGCTCGGAAGACAGAGGACTCTTCCTCTGTATATCCAAAGTCTTGCCAACAAGATCAAGAGCCTCTCCATTCATCTAGCCAGATTACCAGGCAGTAGATGGGGACAAACAACTTCTGTGATCAAGTGGATCCATGACTTCCTTCCTTCCTTCCTTCCCTCCCTCCCTCTCTGGCCAGAA